TGGACCTTTTTTCTGATGAATGACGTTCGTGTTTGTGGTTGTATTCATGTGTTTTGCTTTCTGCAGGCTCTTGTTAACTTGGTGTTTGCTCTCATTGCTTTCCTGATACTGTGGGTGAACGATGCGCTGTATGATTTTTCTATTCCAAACGCAAAACAATTATTCGGTTCACTGTAACCAACAATGGACAGATGGTGGAGTTGAAGTTGTGCCAACAAGGAAAAATCTCAGTGTGTTCCTGTGTCAGCTGCCCCTCTCCTGAAACCACCTGACGCCCAAAAAAAATTCAGCCGCCAAGTGTCCCAAGTGTCCCAAGTGTGCCAAACTGTCAGCACAAGGAACTTGGTTTCTCCTTTTTGTACCCTCTGGGCCCGGGCCCTCTGATGACTTCGTAATCGTTCTGCTATATGCCAGGATGCGGTCATGTAAGGGAGACCCCATCTTTCGTCGAATCCAACGGTACGATGTCGTTTGTTTGGTCCGATCGTCATCTTAGCGACGAATTTCAATGTTTCTTTGGCAAGGGTCGCAAGACCGCATTTGTGCAGCTTGAGGTTTAGATTAGCATCTGGGAGAGAGAGAGAGAGAGAGAGAGAGAGAGAGAGAGAGAGAGAGAGAGAGAGAGGACCGGGGCGAGGGAGCGAGAAGGGCAGCCATTGGAATCGGAGGGGACATGCATTGTGGGCTTGGGATTTTTTATTCAGCTACTGGTTTCCGTTGTACTGCTGTCTCGTGATTTTGTGAAAAGGCGGCGCTTGAGCCCCGGAACAGAGATGGACTTGATGATGCCAGGGGTGTGCCATCGATTGATGGATGGATGGAGGGCGGGCAATGATCTGCTGTTGTTGGCCTCGTAAAAGACACCTAAGGTGCAGGATGACCTTGCTGACGAAAAGGTCAGTTGCGGACGCCAGATGATGTGCATTCACGCTGGTTGTCCTGTCGAAAGGATTGATAAAGCCTCACAAGCCCTCGCAATCATGATGACGTAGGATGGGCAGATTTCTTGCAAATGAACTGGCCACCTAGCGCGGGCGATGCAGAGGCCCGTAGGTTCTGTGGGGCTAGCTTAGAATGCGTTGCTGGGCGATCGGCAGGCTTATGATCAGGCTTTGTTGCGGCATTCATATGAAGACAAATATGAACCCCTTTCTTTCTGTCGCTCCCTGGCCTCAGGGTGGAGAGGTTAGAAAAGGTCAGTTGTGAAGGCGAGACATTGCGACTCTGGTTCAATTCGGTACCTGTTTTTTTTCGCCTGCGGGCAAGGCGGTGAGGAGTTGCGTGCTGCTGCTGCAGGTCAGTCGGCTTCCATCTGCGCGTCCGCAATCGAGGAAGTATGGGAAGTGGTGCGCGCCTGCGAAACCTCTTCCTGGCTTGCGGAAGAACTGACATCATCCGCAACCGAGGAAGTTATGGGAAGTGGTGCGCGCCTGCGAGACCTCTTCCTGGCTTGCGGAAGAACTGGCATCATCCGCAACCGAGGAATTACGGGAAGTGGTGCGTGCCTGCGAAACCTCTTCCTGGCTTGCGGAAGAACTGACAACAACTATTGGTTGATCAGTTCAACAAAAAAAAAAAAAAAAAGCAAAAGGGGGGTTAGAACTTAGAAGTTAGAACTTAGAAGAGTCTCTCTGCTCATTTTTTTTTTATAACAGAGCAAGAAAGCCAAAAGCATCATCGTGCTCAAGAGTTTTTTTTGCAGTGGATTCATAAGAAGGGAGGAAGCTTTTAAACGAGGATCGTTCTCAGCACTCCAATCTGGGTTGATGATGGAGATGAGGAGAATGTGGTGGGTTTGGGAAGGGAGGGATGCGCCCACCCCTGGCGTGTAACCCACCCAGTTAATCGGGGCTCGGCCTACCAGACCTGAAATGGCTGGTGGCGGTGCCAGCTTGCCAGGTAAAAAGAAATGTTTTGCGCGTGCGTCGGTTCACTTTTTTTTTGTTTGCCGCGCAAGCGGCACAGCAGCAAACCCCGGTCGGGCAAAAGAGGCTCCGATGATTTTCAGGTTGGCGTCACTGGAGCAGGTCGCGTCTATCCATCGACCAGCAATCGTAATCGGCAGAACGCACCTTTCACGCTTTTGGAGAATGTTGTGGGCATGTTGCCTTTCTCGTTTCTGCGTCAACATCTGTTCTTCAGCAGCGACAACCTTTTCGAGTCTGCAATGCAGCGGGATGAGATTTTGCTTTGTAAAACGCCTAAGCAAAGGGTTTGAGATCTGCTGGAGCGAACGTGATCTGGCTGTGGAACCAGGTTCTTCCTGTCTACAGCAGCTAGACAATGAACAACAGCTGGTACCAGAGCAAAGGTTATGGGATTGCTTTGTGAAACACCTAAGCAAAGGGTTTGAACTTCGAATTTTGAACCGACGTTGTTAGGGTGGAAGGTGGTGTTGCGCTCGTCTTGCGTGGGCGCGCATGCAACTACCTACCTGTTTTGTGAAGCACGTAAGCAGGCACTTGAGATCTCTGCCAGAGCGAGCTTCGTCTGGCGAAGGAACCTGTTCTTCCTGTCTAACAGCAACTAAACCATGAACAACAGCTGGCAAGGAACAGTGCACCGCGGTTCAAACTTGCGCTTGTTAGCGGTTGAAGGAGGTGATGCGCTTGTCTCGCATGGGCACACTCAACCACCTGTCCTGACTGTGTTGGGCGCAGCTAGCCTGGCGGCTGTGGTGTGAAGAGGCTGAGACTGATCAGATAAGCGTTTGCATGCGTGAAGAGGCTGAGACTTGTCTCGCATGGGAAATGAGGGTACTCCTCCTCCCATTTTGATTAGGTACCGGCGTGCATCTTGGGCATTGCCGGACAGGTTTTGGTGAGAAGCCATTTAGTGATGTTGATGATGGTCCTTTCGCTGTTGATCGTCCGATCCTAGCTAATCTAACGTGTGTTGTGGATAAGTGTTTTCAAGCTTTTTTTCTGTGCTTATTATTATTTACTTATTTCCGACCCCTCGAACCCTCCGATGCGTTTGCCTTTTCACTGCTTTAGACTCATTAGCAGTCCCTTTCCTCTTTTTTTTTTGACTCATTAACAGTCCTGTTAAGGTAATGTAGCTATATGTTCTGTCTGCACTGTCTCAGAGGCATATTCCTTTCTCCAGCTCCTCTCCACTACCCCTCCCTCTCCCACTCCCTCTCCCTCTGCTGCTTTTCTTTCATTATCATCCTCTGCAGTCATCGCATGGATGTTGAGCTGATTCAACCGATGAGAATTCTCCTTTGTAATGAATTCTCAGTCATCGCATGGATGGCTCTGTCTGCCGTTGATGCTATAGATTACCAGAACTTCCGGAAGTGTAAAAAACACAGTTGTATACGTATTATATATATACATCAATTGGATCTGCTCAACATCAATTGGATCTGCTCAACATCGATTCTTAACTGTCGCAGGGACTGCAAGAAAATGCTCATTGGTCATGCACAGCAGCAGGGGGTATCAGGCAGGAAGGAAAAATATTCTGGCACCCCTGGTACTAAAAGTGAGGATTGGCAAGAAGGGAGGGAATCAGTGCCCAGCCGCCAACAGGCTTTTGGGCCAAATTCAGGAAGAGTATTTTGCATGGAAGGCTACGGCTAGTATAAGCGATTGTGGGCCAAATTCAAGGAGAATATTTTCCAGGGAGAAAGCTAAGGCTATCGAGTAAGGGAAGAAGCGCGATAAAAAGCTGACAACCTTGGGCGGAAACAGAATAGCACGCAAGTGAAATAAGGCGAGAAAGGTAACAGGCAAAGCCAGCCGATAGCCGATAGCTGATAGCCGATAGCCAGTAGCCGACAGCGACGGCAAGTAATAAGCAAGGGATGGCGACCCGAGTGTAGCAGGCCTATGCAGGCTATATGTATAGTCTTTGTTGTCTATGTATGGGATGATATGATGTGAAACTGACTAGGTGGCACCAGGTGAAACTGACTAGGTGGGACCAGGTTGGACCAGGTGGGGGAGCAGGTGGTTCTTTTGCGAGCCAGTGGTCTATGGGTCTCTGTGTGTTTTGACAAGATTGTGCCGTTGCATGGAATTGACATTCGCATCGAATCCATCGTGTTTTGTATTGGGCTTCCGGTGGGAGGTGTTGTCCCCCTTCTCAGTGTGCTGTGTAGCAATCACAATGAAGCAGGAGTGCTCACTCTTGGCTTGCGAGGCAGTGCCGATGCTGTGTAGCTGCTCGTGTTGTCGTGCATTGCAACGAGGCAACGGTCTTATTGTGTACAGCAAATGGCCTATAGGACACAACAAGGACGATAGTCTACTTGAAGTCTAGAATCTATAGGAGGAAATTGAACCCTGTTTGGCATGGGTTTGACATTCTCAACTATTGCAATCTCTTGATAGACAGATTTTTTAAAAAAAATTTTAGACCTTCCCTTCCCTTCCCTTCCCTTCCCTACCCATCCAGGAGTAAAGCCTTGTCCCTCACCGTGCAGCGTTTTTGGAACATTTTTTTGCTCTTTCTCCGTTTCTTCTTCGCCAGGGGCCAAGGTCATTCTTATGTGCCTTGGACATTTTGCTGGTCTCTTCTGTGGATTTCATTTCGTCACCGAGAGACGCAGCGGCGTTTCTGAAGAAGGTTGCTGTGAACATTCAAGCGGAAAACTTAACTTGCTCCTTGGCGCTTGCTGTGATGGGTGTCTATACAAGGGATACAATGTGTTGTTCAGGAGGAGGGTATGTAGTATATATATGTATATACATATATATATGCTACCCTTTAGCCATTACTTACATCTAGCAAACACGACTGCTTTTGCGGTCTCGCAAGCGGGGAGAGCACTTGGCGTTTCTCTGGCAAAGGCAGGCAGAATAATCTCAAACTTCAAAACAATCGGCGGGCGTCTTTCCCATGATAGCGTTGCGACAGGACCTGCTTGTGGACATGAAGTTCGATGGTGGAATGATGTCCACCGCATGGAGAAGGTAGGTGTGTATGAATGGGTGCCATTGGTCTGGAGGCTTTCTGTTTTTTTCAAAATAAGTTGTGCGTAGCTTTGGTAGCAGTGGGTGAGCAATAACCAGCATGGGGTGCCATGGGGCCTGCAGAAGGCGGGCAAGGCCTCGCCTTGCATCTCCATCGACTTTCAGTATGGAGGTGGACTGTCTGCCTGAGGGAATTTGTCACCAGACTTCCGATGAAGGAGGTGAGGGGACCCTGCAAGTATCGTAGTAGGTCTTAGCATGAGAGATGCAGAAGAGGAGGTGCCGATGTCTTTGTGCGACTCTCGAGCTCCTGCGTTGCTGATGTCTTTGTGCGCGCCTGAATTCCTAAGACTACTTCCTGCGGCGTTCCGCGAAGCAACATATCGTAAAGAAGGGACAAGAAGAAATCGTGTGCGTAGACTACTTCCTGCGGCGTTCCGCGAAGCAACATATCGTAAAGAAGGGACAAGAAGAAGTCGTGTGCATTGTCGAACCTTACAGTTCGCCGTGATCAGTTGTGTTCACGCGTCCGTTGGACCGACGCCGATGATTTCGTTCTTCTTCACACGGCTCGAAGAGTTGTTCACGGCGCTCACGGGTTCCTATCACAATGGCTCTAACGCATGGGCCTACACTTTGTGCCTGATCAAACTCGCACAGTCACTACGGGAGAAGGATTCCATTTCTTAGCACATGACGTTCTCCACCTTGGCAAAGGCTCAAAGAGCAGACACTTCGCGTCTGAATCCCTCGGGCTCGTCAGCGGAGTTGCTTCGTCCAAGAAATCACAGGACTCTGCGCCTTCTACTTGACGCGAACTTTCTAGCGGCATGCAGGACGTATGCACTCGCACATGGAGGAATAGGGGGGTCGATCATTCTGCATGCAGGAAACAGTCAGTTCCGCATGGAAAAACAGGTGTGCTTTTTACAGCAGCAGAGGATAATATCGTGGTCGTCGTCATCAGTCATCAGCAACAGGTCATCTAATGGGGCGAATAGAAGGACGTTGGCGAGCATTGTGCCGGGGAGTACTTTGCATTTATACTACTTTATTCTGAGAAGATAGTATGCGAGTTTTGTTACCGCTGCGCTCCCCCAAGATGGACCTGCATCCAGTCATCAGTCGTGTACAGGTTACAGCTGGAAAGAAGAAAATGCTCGCAGAGCCTTGCTGTTTGATCCATCTGGTATTCAATCATAATCCCCATCTGGTATTCGATCATAATCCTAGCATGCAAGGCCATTGTTGTGGTGGTGATCCCGTCCGCCCAGCTAGCTACCTTCTTCCCCCGGAATACAACGCACGGCCATTATAGCTTTATTTAGACTGAAAGATGCCCCAAATACATCTATAATGACTGCACGATGTACGTTGCATTTGGGGGAAGAAGGTAGCGTTGCCAGTCACGCTTGTTTGGTTGCGGCAGCTAACTTTCTTTCTCTGTGCTTGCAGAATAATCTGTATGAGGAAAAAAATTCCGCCGACGTGGTCCGTCAAGTGGATTGGAATTTTTACCGTCATGCGATGTTGCCATTGTTCTTCGATTCCCCCAGAAGAGGACGGTTGGTGGCTCCAGTTTATTCGCCATTTTGTTTCTCCTCTTCTTCTGTCTTGTCTGAAGTTTTGTTTTTTGTGTTTTTTTTTTTTTTTTTTT